CCCTAAAACTAACCTCGTACCTGACCCTAAAACTAACCTCACAGGTACCTACCTGACCCTAAACTAACCTCACAGGTACCTACCTGACCCTAAACTAACCTCACAGGTACCTACCTGACCCTAAAACTAACCTAAACTCAATTCACACCTTGGTCCTAAACCCAACCCCCAACCCACCAATGACATTTAAACCAAATGGGGACTCAACTTTTGCCCCCAAAGGTAGGATTTTTGTCTTAAAATTGCCCCTAAATGTCACCAGAAACAACCCCCCCCCCCACACACACACACACACCTAGAAACATTTCAGAGATTCCAGTTAACCCAACACATGCTGATGATTTTCAGGAGAAACTCCATCCTGCATAAAGTAGAATATTTGAAGTTTCCTTCCTGCTGAGGWCCAAACAGCTGCTTCATGATGCAACCTTCGTTTCTCCATGAAATCATTATTATTTAGCAAACAGACATAAAATATTAAGAAGACTACACTAACCATGCTTTATAAAAAAGACCAACTCATATGGTTTCAAACACTGTGAGCTGAATGATGTAAGTCTCCCCAGGAGAGCTTGAACATGGGCCAAAGACAATTTCTTTAAACTAAATGACTGGATTTGGCCGTTTTAATTAGCAGTTTTACATCAAACTGTAAACAAACACACTTTGTGACAAACTTTAACCTCTTGAGCCCCATGCCCCCGGTACCAGGGGCAAAACAGCTTTGCTCATTTTCTAATACTTCTAACTTCTTTTAACTTCAGATCTGTCAGTTGAACCTGGATATGTCTGGTACCAAAAGAAACCTAAAAAGTCTTGGCTAAAAGCTCATGGAAACTATTTTTACATTCACCAAACACAATTCAAACGTCAAGCAGTTGAATCTGAACATAAACAAACTGTACAAAATGGCTTCAGTGCAATTCTGTAAATACATTCAAGCAAATCTGTAAAGGAAAAAAAAWTGACAATATTTTTATAAAGCAAGTCAAAGCAGATACCTACATATGTTGCAAAGTGTGTTGAAAGTTTTTAAACTTGATTTAGAGTGAATTTACAGAAGCGTAMAGCTGTCACATGAATTTTATTYTTTTTAAACTGGATCTCATTATAACGAGAAAAATTTCTCGTTATAATGAGAAAACTATCTTGTTATGTCAAGATAATCATCTCGTTATAACGTGTTATGATTTCTTCTGGTTTGTCACTTTCACTGAAGTTTATTGCCTGGATGGTGTGATGGAGAACCTGACTGAACCACTATATAAACAAAAACAAACAGAACTATTTGGGTTTGTGTTGCAGCTAGTAGCACTACATAATATTCACTCTCTAATCTGAATTCAGACGCTATTATTTCAAAAACATTATTCAGTACTAACTTGCCATTTTTTACTCTAGAAATGTGTTGTTATTGCAGATTTCTTGTGAGACTCAGTCATGTTCTCCATCACACCATCCAGGCAATAAACTTCAGTGAAAGTGACAAACCAGAAGAAACCATAACATGTTATAACAAGATGGTTATCTTGATATAACAAGATAGTTTTCTCGTTTTTACAAGATAGTTTTCTCATTATAATGAGATCCAGTTTAAAAATAATTTCATGTCGTGGCAGCTCTACACTTCCGTATGAGTATGAACCAACTGAAGTCAAATATAATTTCTAATTTTTAACAATATAAGAG